CGATTTTAAAGTTGACTACCCTGTCTATCCTAATTCGTCGGAGTGTAGTTTGTTGTTGACACATTTACACCTTAAGTGCGTATTCAATTAAAATGTTCAGGAAAAAGATGGGAGGCTTTGTTTTCAATAATTTCCACTTGGGTATTAATGCAATCGAAGGTATGTGAATGGAAAATCATCGGAAAATGATGTTTTCTTTTTTACTTTACAATAGTGTGTAGTTGACATTATTTTGCGTGTGCGCGAGTTTTGATGAGAGTTAATCTGTTCTCAGTTCGTGTTAACCTGTTTTTGTGTTCAGAATGTTGCCATTGCGTAGATATTTCGTGCGTTTGGAATCCAACGATGATTTTTAGCATTTGATAAATTTACTTTATGTCGTCAAAATCGTCTGCTCGGTAAGTGTCGTTAGAATACCGTCGTGGCCAAATGTGTGTGCACGAATTTATTTACCATAACTGCAGAATCGAGTTCTGACTACGTCGTCAGTTTCAACTAGGTGGCTGTATATATATATATATATATATATATATATATATATATATATATATATATATATATATATATATATATATATATATATATTGCGTAGATATTTCGTGCGTTTGGAATCCAACGATGATTTTTAGCATTTGATAAATTTACTTTATGTCGTCAAAATCGTCTGCTCGGTAAGTGTCGTTAGAATACCGTCGTGGCCAAATGTGTGTGCACGAATTTATTTACCATAACTGCAGAATCGAGTTCTGACTACGTCGTCAGTTTCAACTAGGTGGCTGTATATATATATATATATATATATATACCTACATATATATATATATGTGTATATATATATATATATATATATATATATATATATATATATATATATATATATATATATATATATACATATATATATATATATATATATATATATATATATATATATATATATATATACAGCCACCTAGTTGAAACTGACGACGTAGTCAGAACTCGATTCTGCAGTTATGGTAAATAAATTCGTGCACACACATTTGGCCACGACGGTATTCTAACGACACTTACCGAGCAGACGAATTTGGTTTACGAAATATCGAAACGACATATCTAACGACACTTACCGAGCAGACGATTTTGGTTTACGAAATATCGAAATATATATATATATATATATATATATATATATATATTTCGATATTTTGTTAACCACGGAGGGCATATTTTGGCGATTATTTTCATCGATTGTAAAGTTGGCTACACTGGTCCTCCCAATTCGTCCTCTTCAGTTGTCATTCTGTTTTTTTTGGCGCTCGGTTGCGTGTGGTGTTCATTTTTGGAAAATTTTCAATTTAAGTGTGTATACGATTGAAATGTTTGGAAAAAAGATGAGGAACATTGATTTTCAATAATTCCCACTTGAATATAAATGCAATCCAAGTTATGTGAATGAAAAATCGACAAAAAATGTGTTTTCTTTTTTACTTTGCAATGTGATTGTACTATTGTTGTTTCCTTTCTTCCTTGTTTGTGCTGTTGACATTTTGTGCGTGCGTGTGTTTTGATGAGAGTTGCTCTCTCATTTGGGGTTAATCTCTGTGGTCGTGCGTTCGTATTTCAATGTTGATCTTAGCTCGGAAATTAACTTTGTCGTTAAAGTCGTCGGTTCGGTAAGTGTGGTTTGAATTGTTCTATGGGCAAATGCCAAGGAGAAAGAGTTAGAAAAGTGTTGACAAGTGTGTAATTTTATTTTGTATAGCTGAATATCGATATTCGTTTAACTGGGCAGCAGAAGAGAGAGTAGGTAAGTGTTACTTCACACCAAAATTATGTATTTCATTAAAAACAAACAAGAAAATGAGCCAGGAAATTAATTTCCTATTCGGAGACTTTGTGGTTCAACGATTTTACAACTTTAAGTGTTTTCAAATACCTTGCACTGAAATACATCACCCGAAATGCAAAATCGTCAGACATCAGGAAAAACAAAAAAAAAATAAAGTTATAATTTCAGTAAAATAACTGTCAACATTATTCTGTCGAATCTCTCTCTCTCTCTCTTTTGTAGTTTTTTTTTCGGTATTAACATACGATTTCCAGCAATTTGCGGAAATCGTTACAGAGAAAGCAATTAATAACGGATGTGTTAGTTTTTAATATGGTGACCTACGAGTTGTAAAATAACAGTTGACAAATATCCGTAAAATCTAATGAGCTCTTCACAAATTGTAAAATTGATTTAAAAACATGAGTGTAGAATCTTTTAAAATTTCATTTCCTACTTGACCGTTTCAGTGTTTTTTTTTTTAATATACCTATATTTTTATTTTACCTTATTTAAATAACAAGTGGTAGGAATTACTCTGTTTTAGCATAGAATCTCTGATTTATTGAGTATTGATGTTGGTATTATTGTCCTGTTAATACAATTCTTTCTACGAAAACGGATCCGAGTTGCAGAATATTTAACTGAAAGGACGAGCACTAAAATGTTCTGGAATTAAAAGTATACTTAATTTTCTGGATCCCAAAAGGTTGAAGATACGCAATTTTTTCCCAAATGATGCATCTAGGACGTGTCCAAGAACGGCTACGCGACCTTAAGTTTTTCTAAATGGGATGCTTTCGCAGTAACTATATTATTACTTCCCTTACATTTCTGGGTGTCATGGCAAATAATTAAATGGTGTATTATCATTTGGACATTTAAGGACTTTTTCATATTAGTTAGTATTGTGTAGTAGATAAAACAGTTACTGTATATCATCTCTTAATATATTCAGCTTCACTATTGTTCGGTCGAAACCATTTGGTTGTGCATATCTTCATTTAAGAATTCATGCTGGTTTCCTGTTCCCTATGAAAAAAGAGATAGTTGCTACCTTTAGATCGGGTGCCGTTTGCAATTTTTATAATATTTTTTATTGCCAACAAAAAAAGTTTTTACGAAGCTATTGTTGGTATTGGAACTTCAGTTAATTGTCTTCCTCGAATCTAATTTTCTTATCAGATTCTATTTTATCTCAATCGAAATCAGATCTAAGTCATCGAGCAGGGGTCAAATACACGCCAGTGGTTAACAAAATAGCAGAATGTTACAGCACTATTCTCATTATGGAAATGTTTAATTTTGGCGATTATTTTCATCGATTGTAAAGTTGGCTACACTGGTCCTCCCAATTCGTCCTCTTCAGTTGTCATTCTGTTTTTTCGGCGCTCGGTTGCGTGTGGTGTTCATTTTTGGAAAATTTTCAATTTAAGTGTGTATACGATTGAAATGTTTGGAAAAAAGATGAGGAACATTGATTTTCAATAATTCCCACTTGAATATAAATGCAATCCAAGTTATGTGAATGAAAAATCGACAAAAAATGTGTTTTCTTTTTTACTTTGCAATGTGATTGCACTCTTGTTGTTCCCTTTCTTCCTTGTTTGTGCTGTTGACATTTTGTGCGTGCGTGTGTTTTGATGAGAGTTGCTCTCTCATTTGGGGTTAATCTCTGTGGTCGTGCGTTCGTATTTCAATGTTGATCTTAGCTCGGAAATTAACTTTGTCGTTAAAGTCGTCGGTTCGGTAAGTGTCGTTTGAATTGTTTTATGGGCAAATGCCAAGGAGAAAGAGTTAGAAAAGTGTTGACAAGTGTGTAATTTTATTTTGCATAGCTGAATATCGATATTCGTTTAACTGGGCAGCAGAAAAGAGAGTAGGTAAGTGTTACTTCACACCAAAATTATGTATTTCATTAAAAACAAACAAGAAAATGAGCCAGGAAATTAATTTCCTATTCGGAGACTTTGTGGTTCAACGATTTTACAACTTTAAGTGTTTTCAAATAGCTTGCACTGAAATACATCACCCGAAATGCAAAATCGTCAGACATCAGGAAAAACAAAAAAAAAATAAAGTTATAATTTCAGTAAAATAACTGTCAACATTATTCTGTCGAATCTCTCTCTCTTTTGTAGTTTTTTTTCGGTATTAACATACGATTTCCAGCAATTTGCGGAAATTGTTACAGAGAAAGTAACTAATAACGGATGTGTTAGTTTTTAATATGGTGACCAACGAGTTGTAAAATAACAGTTGACAAATATCCGTAATATCTAATGAGCTCTTCACAAATTGTAAAATTTATTTAAAAACATGAGTGTAGAATCTTTTAAAATTTCATTTCCTACTTGACCGTTTCAGTGTTTTTTTTAAATATATTTTTTTATTTTACTTTATTTAAATAACAAGTGGTAGGAATTACTCTGTTTTAGCATAGAATCTCTGATTTATTGAGTATTGATGTTGGTATTATTGTCCTGTTAATACAATTCTTTCTACGAAAACGGATCCGAGTTGCAGAATATTTAACTGAAAGGACGAGCACTAAAATGTTCTGGAATTAAAAGTATACTTAATTTTCTGGATCCCAAAAGGTTGAAGATACGCAATTTACTCCCAAATGATGCATCTAGGACGTGTCCAAGCACGGCTACGCGACCTTAAGTTTTTCTAAATGGGATGCTTTCGCAGTAACTATATTATTACTTCCCTTAAATTTCTGGTAGATAAAACAGTTACTGTATATCATCTCTTAATATCTTCAGCTTGACTATTGTTTGGTCGAAACCATTTGGTTGTGCATATCTTCATTTAAGAATTCAAGCTCGTTTCCTGTTCCTTATGAAAAAAGAGATAGTTGCTACCTTTAGATCGGGTGCCGTTTGCAATTTTTATAATATTTTTTATTGCCAACAAAAAAAGTTTTTAGGAAGCTATTGTTGGTATTGCAACTTCAGTTAATTGTCTTCTTCGAACCTAATTTTCTTATCAGAATCTATTTTATCTCAATCGAAATCAGATCTAAGTCATCGAGCAGGGGTCAAATACACGCCAATACCGATTGCGCAATCATCTAATCGTCGCTGGGCACCGACTTTTAAACGAGCAAGTAAATTTATCGCTTATATCTATTCTTTGTGGAGAAACTGTTTACAAAAGTTTAATTGGCCCCGGCGGTACTTACCACGTTCAAAAGCAAACCAAACAAAAGCCATAATTTGATGTCGGCCAAGGGATGTTGTTGGAGTAGCTTCCTTTGTTCCATTAGCTGCTGCATTGCAGACATTAATTGATGTTTGGTTGATGGTGGCACTGGTGCAGTTGGTGTTGTTGCCAATTCCTCTTCAAATCCGATTGCAAGAACCCCTCGGTTTGGCCTCGGTCTCTTTATGGGGTTGCAAAGTGATGTTGTGGAAGATGGGCGATGATGGATTGTCCCGTTGGTTCGGAAACTAAACTGTCGCTTTGCACAATGAGCAGCTTTATCACTAAATTAAATGGAAATATTTACTTTTAGCACCATTTAATTCAGATCTATTCTTATCAAGAAAAAGAAAGAAGATGTGGTTACGAGGCACAGGAGCGGGTCATCAATTGACTCCATCCAGCATGAATACCAACAGGCAAAGATGCTGGCCGAGCAACAACTACAACCACTTTTTGCTGCTTTTGCTTCACGAACGGACTAACTGACACCAATATGTATACACACACACAGATACACTCAAAGTTTTAACTCACAATTTAGTTTGCTTTTGAGGTGCAAATGTTATCACCAGAGCGAAATAGGAAATTTCAACAAGTCGTCTCTTCCTCGTTCTCCACTGCTATGGCAGCAAAGTCGTTATTAATACTAAATGCTCGCTTCAGGACAACGGTCCTTTTATAGTCGTGACTCTCTTTTACATGCTGCGAAAAGCAAAAGGACTTGAAGAGGAAGGAGTTGGTGATGCCAGCTGCTGTGCTGCGTCGATATTTGAGGAGCTTTGCCTCTCTTGGGAAAGTACATCGGAGCTTTTTCGGTTTCACTTGCTCGATTCCGGATTTTGTTTACAAACGGATAACAGCGCAATGGCCTGCAAAAAATACACGGTGAACTGTTGCTGGAACACAGTGACACCGCCTTCGCTTCAAACTAGCAGTGTGTGTGCAAGGATGTGATTCTGTGTGTGCCAAAATGACGTCACACGCGCCACAGTTCACATGACACAGTGTAATGGATATCCTTAACGATGTGCCGATGAACCAAAAAAAAACCCACAGTGGATGGCCGCCACATGCAAGGGAATATATATCGAGTCCAATTGTTCGAAAAGTGATTTGTTTAAGCCGGAATCACCAGGTCGTTTTAGTATTTTTCACATTCAAGAGAGTTTTCTACGCTCCGCGCCAAAACGGAATAAACAACTTCACCATAGTACCGGGGACAAAATCGATCGAATTTCACCAACCAAAAGTTATATTTACATTCCTTTCTGATGTAAATTTACCAACATATCATCATGTGGTGCATAAATTATTAAATTTAAGAAATCCATAGAACCATGGACCAAACCGGTCGAAATTCACCAACCCAAAGGTACATTTACTTTCCTATTTGATGTAAATTTACCTACAAATCTACACAGGATTTTTAAGACAAGCCTCTTACATTTACAACTGATTGTACTGCGCTAGTTATGTTTGGAACAATGAAATATATATAAAGGCAGAAAGCGACAACAAAGCGAATCCAATAAGCGTGTTGTGTCGATTTTGACTTAATTTCCTTCCATTCAACCATGTGCAACGGACTTCAAAATATTGGTAACGCCTAACGGCTCGCTTTCCTTTTCCAATAGCGGTAGGGACTTGTCATATTCGCGTACATGGACAGTATCCTGTTGAACGCCCAGGAGGCTGCAATGAGTTCGTTAAATATAATCATAAAGAGAATCACATTCCCAGAATTCGACGCTTCTCAAAACGCCAGACGGAAATCCTATACGTTTCTCTTTACAATCCCCCTAAGAGCGATTTGATTTGTGCGGCATATGTTTGGCATGACATGCGCTATAGGCACAACCACATCTCTACAAAAGCACTTTACATTTGATGCTTTACTACCGCTCCGCTACTACGTACCCTCAATCGACAAGTCTCAATGGAGGAGCATTCTTGTTCTCGCCAGCATCCGCGACATTTGCGAAGTACCCAGGATGTCAGTCATTCATCCTTGCTGAGCAGGCCGCATCACCGTTTGCATTGATGAAATACCGATACAATTTTATGTTCGAACACCTGCACAAACTCATTCATTTAGCTTCAACGTGTCTGGGTAGCTGGAACGCGCATACACAAATATATAAACACATGAATACATAATTTATGTATCGGTAGTTGTATTTGGGCGCTTAGAAGGTCCCTCTAGGATAAATGAATGAGTGTTGCAAACATACTCTGACGACGATACTACACACACACACACACACGCATAGACATACACTCTAAAGGCTCTTTAAATCAATGAAACGGAAAATATAAAAATGTTGGAAAACTCCAAACAAAGACGTATGTTTCTATACAATACCAACATCAGCGGGCCCGGCCCCCTTTGCGCCCCATCGCATGGATGTTATGAAATCCTTATGGCATGGGATCTAACTGCAAATTTTCTGGTAATTTGTTGAAAATCCATAAAGAATTCGGAATACCTAATCACAAACATCGGGAGGTTCAATTATATAGTGCTATACCAAAACGTTCTCCTGCAATGACGTTTTTTCAACACTCTCGCCTATCTAAATCACTCCGAGTTTTCGGATATATCTGAACTGATATCTTCGGTTGTATTCCCAAGCCGGAGTTCTACATGGGTTTTAAAAGATCAACTTTATCAAGTACATTTAGACACAAAGGCATCCTATGTCCGTACTTTAACATTGACATGTCATAGCAAGCAAATACAGACTAGAGCTGAAAATGTGTAATATTCTATCTCAACTGAGTTATTTTGAAATTCTGCCTACGGCCTGAAATACGTCTTACCTAAAGATGGAGTTGTTGTCTCGAAATCGATTCAATATCAAAATAGCAAGTAACGTTTAGATTTTTCCCTTTTCTGAACTTTTTTCCGAATGTGTCAAAAAATCATATTTGCTGTTTGGGATCGAAGTCACAACTTACATCGTATTGTGTAGTTACTTGCTCCTCTCCACTCCTTATGGTGGGTTGCCTGAAATGTAAAACGCAAACATATTTGCAGTAGCTGATCGTTTAATATCTGGGATGTGGACTTAGTATTTTTGCGTAATATTTGTCACTTTCCGCATTAATACCATTTAGTACGAATTTACAGAAAAAAGAATTTGTTTTATTTTAGAATCAACGTTCCCTCAACCAAACATCAACAAAATATCGTATATTCTTTTCTTTTTCTACGTCTCGAGTCTCGAATTCGATTAGTGACAAATTTAAGTTTCTTCGCTTTGTATCTTTTATGTTTTTGTTAGCCGTTATTTTCAACCTTCTGGCGAGGCAGAAACCAGTTTTTAACAAGACATTTTAATGGGTTATTCGGTTCATAGGGCTTCCAAGTTTTTGCTGGGTTCCATTATGTAGTTCCACAGAAAAAGTCCGCACTTGCAGCTGCCTTGTATAAATGATACCATGTGTCCAGCTAAATCTCGGTAGTTTGTACAATTTCAAAATCTCAACCGACTGTAACAGCCAAATGAATACAACGCTGTACCACACCGTACTTCAACAACAAAGTTGCTACCATAATATTCAGCTGCTGCCCTATGTCAATCGTCAATTTCGAAACGCAACGGATGATTTTTCCGAGTCTATTACAATCATACTTTTATTATACGTACGTAAGTATGTACAGTTTGCTGTTGTCCGGAGAACCTGCAATAACTCATATATTTTTTAACCGATGTATGAATGTATACAGATACTACAGATACTTTGCTGATTATGTCATACCCTTACAGAAATGAATGCATCAACGCCTGATGTTTGTTCATCATTTATGAATATTCTGTTTGTATTTGAAAAAACCGGTTTGATTTCCCAATGACAGTGTAAAGCGAACGACGTCCGCCGTTTCTATTGTCTGAAATCGTTCAACAGAACTCGGCTTTGTCGTTTTTCAAAACCAAATTAACATGTTCTGCGTTACAATTAACACGAGCTAGCTGCTTGATATTCAGCGAGTGCGACGACATCGCTGTTCTGTATTTCCACTCGAGCATTATACTCTGTCACCCACAATTTCATAGCACTACGTCTGATGAGAAGAATAGATGCACATAAGCCAGGGTGCTCCTATGCCACTTAAAGCTGCAGTTGAATTCTTTCAGTAATTTATCTAATTAAAACAAGTGCCCATTACGAACTTCAAATACGAAATTTTTTTACAATTACGTGAATAATGTCGCAAAAATCATGAAAATACGGAGTATCGGGAGGTACCGAAGACGTGCAAAGACAATTTTGTGTCTTAGGTTGTAGTACCCATTAGGATCTTTCAGTAGGAAATTTGAAACAATTCTGGTGAATAATATTGCTGAAATCATCAAAATACCGAATATCGGAAGGTATCGTTATATGGGGGCTATACGAAGACTTGGACCTGCATACAAAAATTGTTGTCATAGGCTGTAGTACGCATTAGGAACTTCCAGTACGAAATTTGAATCGATTCCGGTGAATGATGTTGCTGAAATCCTCAAAATATCGACTATCGAGAGGTACCGTTATATGGGTGCTGTACGAAGACGTGGACGTGCATATACAATATTTTTCATAGGCTGTAGTACTCATAGTGACAAACACCAAATTTGAAACAATTCCGCTATAATAGTCAAAATACCGAATATCGGAAGGATGGTGGAGGGTATAAAAAAAAAAAAAATATATATATATATATATATATATATATATATATATATATATATAAAGAGCAGAATCACATAGATAAAAAATATTCGGACCTTTTCATTTTTTATACCCTCCACCATACTATGGAGTGCATATATACTTTAGCATTCCGTTTGTAACTCTTCGAAATACTAATGTCAGACCCAACAAATGTTTTATATTCTTCATCAGCGTAAACTTCTAAGTCGATTTGGAGATGCCCGTCTGTCTCTTGGAATCACGCTATCTTTCGAACGAATTGAGATAGGAGGCTACAATTTTGTATACATGTGTATTTGGGTCTTGGCGTTCCACGTTTTCGCATAGCTTCCATATAACGGTACATCTCAATATTCGGTATTTTGATCATTTAAGCAACATCATAGATCGGAATTATTTCAAAACTCGTATTGGAAGATATTAATGGGAACTACAACCTATAAAAAATATAGTAATGGGTTCCAGATCCGGTGACAGAAGATTGATCTAGGTCCACGTTTTCCAATAGCGCACATATAACGGCCCCTCCGGATATGCGGTATTTTGACGATTTAAGTCACATTTTCTAATAGACTTGTGTGAATTTGGTATTTGTACTTCATAATGGGCTCTACAATATATAATATACAATATTATATAACGGCACCAGCCACTATATTGTTTTTTGAAAACGCTAACTGCATATTGGGATGTGTAAAATTTTAAGACAATCGGATTCTTACATCACATTTTATAAGTGAAGATGGCATATTTAGGTATACCGCTCCGAATCTCTAAAGTTAGTTACTTTTATTCGCTGGGATAATTTGTAATATCCGGCCGTATTCAAAGGTGCTGTTTTATTGTTGCATTATTTCGCTATTTCTAATGCCGATATCTATGGGAATATCCTATAACAGGTTTGCAGACGAAATAAAGAAAATACCATTGTAAAAAACGTATGAATGTGTTTATTTTTACAAGTAAAGCATC